TGTTGCTAAAATTATTCAATGGCTCTCCAAAACATCAAAGATAAAGTCTAAACTCATTTGCAGCCCTTCATGTCCTAATTCCTGCCAACTTGTCTAGTCTCATCTTTTAACACTCTCTTCCTACCTTTCACTCTAATGATATTCAAGTGCTATCATGCCTTCCAATATATCAGGCTGTTTTATATTGCCATGGCTTTACATGAGCTGTTTCATCCTCCTAGAGTGCCCTTCTCTCTCTCTCTCTCTTTCTCTCTCTAACCCCATCTCTCTCTCTCATTCATCATCATTACCACACCTAGGCTCGACCCAATCATACTCTTAGATAAAAGATCATCTACTCAATAGCTTGCCCTGAGTCATCGAGACTGAGTTGATCATTCTTTCATTTATGCCACTGTACTTTGTGCTTGTGATTGTTGTTTGAATGAACTCTTACAAAGTTCTGCAACTGAAAATGAGACTGTGAATTGCATCTTAGTTATAATTCACATAGTGATATCAGCTACTCTAAATGAAAGCCCTTCCATGACCCTTCAGACTGGATTAAGAGCCTCTTTTCTGTGCCTCAGTATGGTACCATTTATTACGCTGTATTACAGTTGCCTGCTGTTCCTTTCCTGTCACTTGTCTGAAAAATCCTTGAGGATGAGTCTCTGGTTCTGTTAGTCTTTTTCTTTCCAACATCTAGCACAGTGCCTTGCACATTGTAGGCAGTCTCTGTATATTTGACGAATGAATGGTGCTATTGAATAAACTGAGTCTCGAAATAGAACTATTGTATTGGTTCTCCTATTACGCTTTGAATCTCCCAGATGTCTGAACTGCCATGCTACAAACATCATTTTTAATTTGGAATTAGTCCCACAAGATCTAGTTCATGCACAGAGTAAGGGATGAAGTTGAGTTATAAGCTACAGTTGGGATATTATTTCAAATTTGCATGCCTGCTCCCTGGCTCACCAGAATCTGTTTACCATCTAAACCATCTGTAAAGCACTGGGCAGCCAGTCATCAAATAAGGTCAGTCATCTATGCATTGTTTTTTGAAATGAATTCAACTGAGTGCTCTTGCGAGATAAAATTTTGCAATAACAATAGCTGGCATTAATTGAGTGCTTACTTTGTTCCAGGCTAAGAGATAAGTGCTTTACATGCATCATCCCATTTAATTTTTACTCTGTGAGATGGGAACTATTATTGCCCCCATTTTAAAAATGAGTTAACTGAAGCTTTGGTGTTTAGGCAATTTACCAAAGTCACGCACAAATAATATGTGCCAAAACTGGGATTCAACCCAAGGTTTACTTAACTCCTTCTGTGTGAAACACACACATTCACACATATTCACACACACACCAAAAAGAACTATATATATATATTTTTTTTTATGGTCTTAGTTATGGTAAAGCTCTAAACTATAGCTTCTTGCCTTTTGTCTTCTTAGTGATCTGGAAAATGTGGGTTAATACAAACCAGAAGTAGAACGTAATTGTCTCAGAACTTATCCTAAATAGTTATGGATGGGGAACAGATTCCCAGTGGCTGAAGCTCTGCTAGAATGCTATTATCAAATAAGCAGTTTGTTTGCTACGCATAAGCACTATGCTAGGTAACACATATTTCCAATATCCCTGTCTTTGAGCTTATTATCTATTCAGGAATACAAATTATGAAAGCATGAAAAATGTTCTTACAACGTGTACTAAATACAACCATTCCAGATGCTTTGGAGTCTACCTCCTTTCTCCTGATAAGGGGATGGGACAAGTTAGCTTTACACACTCTGTTACCTATAGGAGGGGCTGATCTTCGCAGTAGATTTTTTTTTCTTTTTTTAAATTCTGTAGCAAATAAGCCAATATTAGATCAACTTAGGCCTAATTTCTACTCTTGGATCATTTTAGAGGTTTGTAACACTCCCATTTATTGACTTTGTGAAGATTTGACAGGAGTTCTTATTAAAGGACAATTGGCCATAAAGCTATAAATAGTTTGCAGATTCCCATTGCCTGGGTTGGAAAACTGTAGCCTACATAATCCAAACCCAACCAAACCCATTTCCGTGGAGTCGATTCCAACTCATAGTGATCCTATAGGACAGAGTAGAACTGCCCCATAGAGTTTCCAAGGAGTGGCTGGTGGATTTGAACTGCCCACCTTTTGGTTGGCAGCCAAGCTCTTAACCACTGTGCCACCAGGGCTTCTGGTAGTAAATAAAAAAAAAAAAAAAATCCTATAAAAAATGTGTGTCTAGATGTCTGAGTCTGATTTTTGGTCAAACATTAACATCATTCACCTTTCATATTTAAATCTGGCTTTTTTTTTTTTAATACCTAAGCATTTACATAAAAAAAAGAGTTTTCATATATCAAAGAATAATAAAAATAAAATAAACCAAACCCAACCCATTACTGTTGAGTCAATTCCAACTCTTAATGACCCTATAGGATGGAGTAGAACTGCCCTGTAGGGTTTCCAAGGAGCGGCTGGTGAATTTCAACTGCTAACCTTTCGATTACAGGCAAACGTTTAACCACTGGGCCACCACGGCATCCTAATTATCAAAGAAATGTTGGTAAAAACCAAAAGAAAGAAAACTATTTATATTGAAAGGTTTATCATTCAAAGAGTATGTTCCAAATGATACTGTACACCTGAAGTCTCACTCTATTGATGGTCTTGTGCTCATAGTGAGAGACAGGGAAAGGTGCTAGTTAGAAACATGGGCTCTAAAGTCAGACTGTTAGGGTTCTAGTCTTTGAATTGCCACTTACTAACTTTTGCCATTGGCCACATTTATAATCTCTCTCTTAGTTTCCTCATCTGTAAAAGGGAAATTATAGAAACTACCTCTTTGGGTTGTGTGAGAATTAAATGAAGAAATTCACATAAAGAAATTAGAACAGAGTCGGATCCATACTAAGCTAACAATAACTGTTATTTACATATAATTACTGTGATATTGCTTTGTATACCTACATGCTAGAAGTACACATTCTACAGATTAAACACAGTTTATTCATTTCTTAATCCATTCATTGGCTTATTCAACTTTTAACTAATTAATTTATTCAGCAAAGATTTATCAATTGCTTATTAAACACCAAGCACTGGCTTGGTGATATGGGTGATAATTAATCAGACATTGATCCTGCCCTCAAAGAACTTACAAGTTGGTGGAGAGATGAAAACTACATAAAAATAGTTCTAGTACAAAACAGGAAGTGCTTAGCGCAGTTAAGAGTTTCAGATGAGGTCATACAAGAGTTTTTAATGTACAGAACTTTCTGCAAATTTCCGGACAGGATTTGCATGTTTTGTCTTTATTAGCAAATTATCCATATTTTGCTAGCATTTGATGGCACCTCAACTTACAGGGAGTTAATACAAAAGGGAGTCACTAGAGCCCATTCTGAGGATTCCACATTTAGAAGCCCTTTCAGCAGTGCGTTATTTACCAATGATTGTGTTAAGGTTGCCAGAGTGACATTTGTTACAAATTTGTCATTTTCATTGCTTCAGTTTTGAAAATCAGAATGCGATTTAGAAATTAAAATAAAAAAAAGTGAATGTGTCATTAAGCCTAAATTGTTCTTTACTTTGCCTTTTTAATTTATTTATTCTTTCAGATTCTTGAATATTTAAACCATTTAAAATATTAATAACTTGCTTAAGTATCCATATTTACATTAAATTGAAGTTGTCATTGCTCTATAATATTTTCAATGGTTTATATTATTTATAATTACACTAAATAAATCATCCCCATGGAAGAAACTTAAGCAAGTATTTTACACAATGAGTTTTGTGTGGCAAGACTTCCCCCCCACCCATGGTGAGGTCCTCAGAAATATTAAGAAATAAATTGAAATAAAAGATGTGATGTTTTAAAAGTATTTATAGAAAATCATTGGAAAAATAATTACTTTCTATTAACAACAAACCAATATATTTTATTTAATATCAGAGGTTCTTAAATCATGGTAATTCAAAGTTCATAAATCATGAAGCTTCTTATTATAGTATATTTTTAAGTTGTAGGAATATCATATCTCATCCCCATCTTCTGAAAAATGGAAATGATCATGTCTGTGATGAACTAGGCAATGTTTACATTTTTTAGAGACAGCTTACTATCACAGCATAACAAAAATACACATTAGGTTACTATAAAGTATTAGTAAATTAAATTAAATTTAAATTTCAAGATAAGGATGATTCATATAATTTTATGGAACTGAAAAGACTTTATTGTCTGTAATCGTCTTTGGACATTTTGAGAAACACTCAGTTTCAAAATCAGGAATATTTTATGGATGTAACAATCTGTCAGTTACTTGGCTTCTAAAAAGAACTAAAATTAATTTCAGGAGAAATATTAGCATTGGTTTCTCTCCCTTCAACTGATCCTTGTGTTTGCTCTTTGTTCATTTCTAGCCCTTAGGGACAAATGTACATTAAAATATGTGGTATATATTTTAGCAAAACTTTAAGTTGTAACTCAAAATACAGTATTGAGTAAGAGCATTATCTCTATGAATAAAACATTTAATCATGATCATTTACTTACTATTTCATTTTATTTATGTCATATTTCATGATGTAGGTCTAAGGAAAACCAATCAAGAGTGAATTCAAGTCGTACTTACCTATGATTCAGGATAACATAACATATTAAGAAAAACAAAAAGTTCCCACTAAACCAAATGTCATCGGTCACAAAACGTATTTCAGTTGGCTTTAATTAATTATGTATTTTTTTTTTTCCTTTTTCTCTGGTATGAGACATCTTTCTAAACACATGTCGACTTCTAAAGGGATAAAAAAAAAATTCTCAAACGCCCATACTTATTTGGGGGCAAAATCTGGCCTGTGTCAGGAATGTGTCACATTAAGCTGAGATTCAAAAATGAACATATTGCATTCTTAAGTGTTATCTCTACCGATGAATGAGAGCCAAGAGGCACTTGGGAGCATTCTGGCAACACTGTGTTACTTACGGGTAAGAGGCAGGCTCGCATTGGTCGTGCCTAGTTTGTTGGCAGCCACGCAAGTATAGTTGCCGAAGTGCGCCTGTGTCACGTTGGTAACAGTGAGAATGGATCTTGTGCTAAAATTTTGAATAATAATTCCTTGTTGGCCATTGAAGAGCCTAGAAGACAAAACAAACTCTAGGTAAATATGCATTATGAATACAACTTTCATTTTAATCTTAGGCGGAGTCGTCATGGCAACCCAGACAATTTTGACCATACTGATGTTAGCATGTAGCATGATAATGGCACACACATTTTCTTTACATTAGCAGATTTTGGGAAGGAGTGGGTGTATGACAGTTATGAACTGTTCTGATGGGATTGTTTGTGCTATATAACAAACTGAGCTTAGCTATCTGTATGTCCTATTCATATACATATATTTTATTTTAGAAAACTAGACACACCACTATAATGGCATCTGTTTTGTTACAGTTAAGAAAGAGTGAAAGGGGATTAAAGATAAAGATTCTGTTAAAAGTACAAACTCATGGTTTCTAGGTAAACTGGGTAGGGTATGTCTAGGCCATAGTATTACTGGATTACTCTCATAAAAATCAATCCTACAACTATGGAATAGAATGGTTCTGAGGTCAGTGTCAACACCACTATACTGACTTTGCTGCTGCCATGTGCAACTCAGACAGGTGACTTGCCGTTAAACCCAGAGAAAGGCAGTGCTATAGTGTTGGGGATAGCATTTCAAGTTGAGTCACAGCTCTGCCATGTTTTAGTAATGTTCCTGAGAAAGTCCTTTAATCCCTCAGGGCCTCAATATGGGATTCAATTTTACCTGATTCCAATCTGACGATCCAACAATCTCTCTCCAGTAACCCTCATCTTCAATTAGGCTGGTATGGCTTTACCATTCTCAATGCATGACCTGCCCATGCTTCCTTTACCATTTTCCTGGTTTTGTACCCTATAGTCACCTTCCCCCTTTTATCTCTGCCAGCTGGAGCTTTCCCTCCTCCTTTAGTCCCAACGTAACACCTATCTCTCTTTCTCTAATGCTCCTCAAATGGCTCTCCTCTCTCTGCATGTCTCTCTTCAAATTGTTACATTATATACTTTGCCATGAGACAGGAAGAACTGGATGGTGCCTGGCTAGATTATTGAACATTTTAATCAAAGAGTCTATAGAATAATCCTGTTCAAAGGGGAGAAAATGCAGAACAGATTTTTAAATTCTTATAGACTCTATAATTTCTGGAGCTACGGAGGCTGGATGAATCCCTGAAACTATTGTCCTTAGATAATCTTTAAACCTTAAACCAAAAATGTCCCCTGAAGTACTCTTAAAACTGAATAGTAGTTTAGCTTAAGTAGTAAAGAATGTCTGCCTTGAGCATTATGCTCTTTTAAGATCTATCTATATGAGATCAAATGGACAACAACAACTCGAAAGATTAGATAGCAAGTTTAGGGTGCAGTGACTTTATGTTAATGTGGGAGGAACAACTCAGAAAAGGAGGGTAAGAATGGTTGCACAATTCAAAGAATGTAATCAATGTCACTGAATTGTACATGTAGAAACTGTTGAATTAGTTTAAGTTTTGCTGTGTGTATTCTCAACAAAAACAAAATGAATAAAATTTAAAAAATTGTTGTGGCATTAATAAAACTAAGATTATATTCTTGCATTGTTCTCTCTAGTAGTTTCTAAGTATACAAGTCTGTTCAACCCAAATAAATTGAATCTTTTTAAATTTCCCCAAAGCGGGAATTGTTCTCTTATATTTGAATCTTCCATAATACTTAATAGTGGAATCCTAGATATATAATAAATAGTACATAGGTCAACGGAATCTAGGGGCTATCCCTCCAACATAAACTTTAGTAAGCCCCCTTCAGTGGTCATTTCGAGAATTTCTCTTTCTAAATAAGAATTCCTGTACAATGAGAATGCCAGCTAGATACTAACTTCTCCCTAATCAGCCCCAAAGTTCATTGTGTTAGAGATGTGCTCATCACAACACTGGCTATGTAAGCTTATAGCCTAAATGACATGTTAGCTTTTCCTCTTTAATGCATTCAAGTTCTAGCACTACATATTCCTTTAATTACGCAGATGCTAATAAATGACATTCTCCAGAGAGTTGAACTTCTTTACATTATGTTACATGGCTTGCATCTGAATTTAGATAAAGTATACTGTAGTTAAATGCAGATTAAAATAAGCAGCCATGCTTGATTACTCTAGGAATTACTTACATTTCATGTAATAGTGGAATTTAGCTTATCCAAAACTCAAACTTTAATCAGATTAATAAAACTCTGAGTTGCATAAACATTGAAAAAACTTTAACTTGAGCAATAAACTTAATGATCTCCAACTCTGACACAATAAAATAGCGCATAAAGTATCAAGGAAGTGGCAGCCTTTTACCATATTTTCACATAAACAACGTGGGCTTCTGTGTTTTTTTGCCAGCCGTGCCTTCCCCTCGAAGCACCCTCACAAGTGCCGCCATGCCAATCTTCTTCCACATATCGCGGTGGGGAGGGCACAGCCGGCAAACAAACACAGAAGGTGCGTGTTATTCTCTTTAAAATATGGTATTTTCTTTCTCATATTACAAATCTATCAACATTTATGCTGACTATTCCATAAAACCCATTGCTGTCTAGTTGATTCTGACTCATAGAGATCCCATCTGTTCCAGAATAGAACTGCATATAGAGTTTTCAATGGCTGTGAACTTTTGGAAGTAGATCTCCAGGTCTTTCTTCCAAGGTGCTCTTGGTGGATTTGAACCTCCAACTTTTTGGTTAGTAGTTGAGCACTTAAACTTTTGCATCACCCAGGGATTTTTCTGCACCATATTAATAACTTTATTTTCAACTAATTGGTATATGTTGTATAAAGATCACAATTTCATTGCCCTGTGAACTTCAGCACTGTTGTACAAATCAATTTCCCCATGTCTATGGTGTAAATAAATGTTTAACACACTCAGCTGATAACCAAAAGGTTGGAAGTTTGAGTCCAGCCAGAGATACCTCAGAAAAAAGACCTGATGATCTACTTTGAAAAATCAGTCATTGAAACCCTATGGAGCACAGTTTTGACTCTGACACACATGGGGTCACCATGAGTCAGAGTTGACTTGACACATTTTCCAGTGATCTCAGCAACTCCCTAGACTACTAAATCTCCATTGTGCCCCATTGTGCCTGAAACCAAGATTCATTTTGCTTATTAAATTAACCAGAGTCTTCAGCTGGCTAGACTATGGGAAGAAAATCTCGAGGGAGTATATTCAGACACTCCATGCCTCTGTTTGCTTATGTTCCTTATTGCTGTCTTTCTGAGTGAGATGGTTTCCAATTCCCTTCCTCTTAATGTAATTGAAGGCAAAGCCACAGATGTTGCTAAATCAAGCAGCATATCTAAGCTCTGTGTGTATAGCCCCTTGTTGGTTTCTGGCCAGCAGTACTAGATGCATCCTTACCGGAGTGGCAAATTAATGCTCCAACCCCTGCTGCTTGAATTAGCCAAGCAAGTGGTTATGGCCAATAAAAGAAAAGCATCTTCCCTGAGGGATTTTCTTCCCTCTAGGGGAAGCTACCTCTGGGAGAAGTCCAAAGCTTACTTTCTTCTATAGATGGGAGTTTTAGAAGTGCTGACTCCTCAAACACTGTTTAAGAACCTATCTTCACCTGGCAGATGGCTGGGACAGCCTTTGGAGGGGGAGAAGGACTTCTGGGATGGTATCTATCTCTGAAGAACGTACTTCCGTGATTCTTCTGCAGGGATCCTGGGAAAGAGGAGTGGTTCTCAACTATTCAAATCAATTCTGGTAAAGATCATTAAATTACTACAAAGGTGAAGTCTATGCTAGGTTATTAGGGAATAGGTTGGGCAATACATGATCTCTGCCCTTGAAAAGCTCAAAACTAAGAGGAGGAATCACACACGTAAACGGCTGTTTACAATCAAATGGTATTTTAGTCACGATAGGGACTCTGTTAAAATGAACACAGCTACTCTCAGTCACTGAGCATAGAAATTTAAGCTATACCTAGACGCTCTAGCACATATGACCGTAATGCAATTTCACTCCTTGACTATAGATGGATAATAAAATAGGTCTTCAATTGATGACACTTTTTCTTTATAAAACAGATTTATTCCAATATAGTTGGCTATGATTATATTTTCTGTAAAGAGAAACATTCTTGTACTGACTTAGATTATAAAACAAGAGATGCTTATTTATAGAAAAGAAGCCCCCACCCCTGCTCCAAAGAGAGAAACAAATTATGTTGAGCAAAGAGTTAAATATAGCATCTTTTTCCTCAGCAGTATATGGTGTTTGCTTGGAAATGTCCAGTCATTGTTCTTTGTTGCTTTTTACCACTCAACGGACCCTATGGTTGTCAGCTTATTCTATTACTGTCAGACCTTGCTGTCCTCCACCCTCTGCCACTAATGAGTGTCCTTCATACCCAGACCATTACCCTCACTTTTCTCCCTCTGCCTTTTGCCATGGTCTCATAAACTGCAAGCCGAAGGCTATTTACTTTGCCAGCAGATGCTGCCAGCTCATAAGTAACATAACCCAATCAACTAACTAGTTGTGAACTGGAATAGTCCCCTACATTTTCAAGCATCAATCAGAAGTGGCACATGTAAAGAAAGCTAATAATTAGGGATACTTATATTTTTGACTCATGAAATGCTTACAAATTTTATAATCATAACGTCCCTCAGGCAGTAGCTATCCAGGAAGGCCAGAAGAGCCTAAAGCAATATCACCACAGCAAAACTGACCACATAGCCATTGGCACCAATTGTGAAGACTGCTAAAATAAATGGAGCAGCTATACCAGACCTCGTTCATTTTACATATAAATCTAGCCTCACTCCACATTTTGGGACTATTGTTCAATATCTGCCTTTTCGGATCAGGAATAGCAATAAACATTTCCAGAGAAATAAACTTTTGGGTGAAAATAGCCACAAAAAGACTTCATTGCTAATGTAGAATACAGATATTGGAGAATATCCAGACACTACCAAAAATATTAAAATAATGTGGAGCAGGAGTGACGGAGGTGTTCTCAAATAATGATAGATTTTTTTTTTAATCAAAGTGGCATTATAAGGGAC